ATTTCCAATGCTTCAATTTTGTTCATGATTGATACTTTTAGCGTCCACACTTCTGCACTATACAAAAGTACGGACCAAACACAGCACTTATGCATTATTTGCCATAGTTCTAAGCTGAGATGATTATTACAAAGAAATGACTTCATTTTCATAAAAGTAGTTTTAGTCATTGCTATTCTACCTTTTATTTCTATGTCTGGATCTAGTTGGTCCGTTATCACGGTTCACAAATATGTCATTTTGTGAACTTTCGCATCTTGGACTCCGTTTAATTGAAGCTTTGCATCGGGATATGGGTCACGACTAACACTAAAAATTTGGTTTTGTTTGAGTTTATTTTAATGCCATTTCCTCTCCTACCTCGTGAATACGATCAAGCAGAATTTGAAGAACTTCAATATTATTTGATAGAATTACTGTATCGTTTGCATATCTAATCACATTAAGTAGTTCCCCGTTGATTTTTATTCCATATGGTTGTCTCTCAAGTGCCTTTTTAAATAACTGGTCCGAGTAAACATTGAACAATATTGGCAATAATACTATAATACTAACGAAATCTTGATAGTAGAGGGCCAGCAGATCAAAAGAGTAAAAAAGTACACTTACCTAGGAACACTTACAACAGAAAATAATGACTACACGGCAGAAATCAAAGTCAGAATCGAAAAAGCACGTTCTAATTTTATAAAAATGAAAAAGGTCCTATGTGGCAAAGATCTAACATTAGCTCTTAAAGTACGCCTAAGAAAATGTTACGTATACAGTGTACTATATTATGGAGTGGAATCATGGACGTTAAATCTAGATACCATGAGACGACTTAACGCCTTTGAGATGTGGACCTATAGAAGAATTATGAGGGTTTCCTGGGTAGATAGAGTTACAAACAATGAAATACTGAGAAGAATAGGCAAAGAGAAGGAAATTAAACTTACAATTAAAGAAAGAAAGCTACAGTATCTCGGACATGTGATGCGGGGCGATAAGTATGGCATCCTGCGACTCATAATGCAAGGAAAAATAGATGGCAGAAGAAGCATCGGAAGAAGACGAATTTCATGGCTGAAGAACCTGAGAGAATGGTTTGGATGCAGCTCAAAACAACTATTTAGAGCTACTGCCTCAAAAATTAAGATAGCTATGATGATTGCCAACCTCCGTAGCCGAGATGGCACCTGAAGAAGAAGAATATTGGCAACAAAATGCAACCTTGTCTGACTCCTCATTGTATAGAGATTTTATCGGTAGTTATCTCCAATTTTGACGATAGCAGTTTGATTCCAGTACAAATTTTTAATGACACGAATATCCTAGTCATCTATTCCCATATTTTTCAGTTTTGCATTCATTTTATATGCTGTACTTTATCGAAGTACACGAAACATGCAAATACATCTTTTCTTTGGTCACGGCATTTTTGTAATAGGATGTTTGAAAGTCCTTCCCTGGTTCCCATAGCATTTCTAAAACCAAATTTTGTATCTTCAAGATCTTCTTCGCATTTGCGTCTAATTCTGTTGTGAAGTATTCTGGTGAAAATTTTAAGAGTGTGGCTCATTAGGCTAATTAATCGATATTCTTAGCATTTTCTCGCATTGTGTTTTTTAGGTATTGCGACAAAGATGGATGTGAGCCAATCTGCGGGAATCACTACGGTGTTAAAAATTGAATTAAAAAGTCTTACCACTTTTATGTTATCATTCTCTATTAGTTTCAGCAACTCAGTTGGTATATCATCTGGACCACAAGCTTTTCTAATTTTAGCATTATTTATAGCGTGTTCTACCTCGCAGTTCATAATTTCTGGACCGTCAGTACAGTTTTGGTAGAATTTGGCAATATTATTCCTGTCATCTTTAAACAACTCTGATATATACAGCTACCATTCTTTTCTTATTCCGTGCTCATTTACAATAATTTTGTTATTATTGTCAACGAGTACAGAGGGAACTGGTTTTTTAAATATGTTACTCATTTCTTTTAGTTCTTTGTGCATATTAAATAAGTCATGTTTAGATATTACATCCTCCATTTCGTCGCACCTTTCTCTCGTCCATTTTTCTTTGGTTAATTTGATCTCCTTTTTTATTCTTTTCTGCAGGTGTCTATATTCTGTTACATTAGATTTTATCAGTCGACGTTGTTCCATTAATTTCAAGATGTCGTCTATCATGCATTTATTTTTCGTGATTAAGTTTTTTCTATAATCATTGTTTGTGGAGATTTCGTTGGTTTTTAAATTCACTCCATAGTTCTTCTGGATCTTCTAGTTGTTTTCCGATGTTTTTTATTCTATTGTGTAATTCTTTTTTAATGTTATATTTTATGTTTATATCGCCAAAGTTAAGTACTTTGGTTTTTGGTTTTTGTCGCTGAATTCGTTTTAACCTTAGTTTAATATCTGCTACGACTGGTTGATGATCAGATCCAATATCTGCCCCAGGATATGTAGTGACTTTTTTGACGGCATTTAGGAAACGCTCATTTACTTTTATATAGTCTATTTGATTTCTTGAAGACTCAGGGTTATTGTCATCATCAAATGGGGCTTTCCAAGTGTATAGTCGTCCCTTGGATAGTTTATAACAGGTGTTTACAATGATCATATCGTTTTCTTTACAAAATTCATACAATCTCCGTCCTCGATCGTTAGGTTGTCCTAAACCATAAGGACCTACAGTCTGAACTCGTCGACCTTTCCCAATTTTTGCATTTAAGTCGCCTATAATATATAAAATTTCGTGTTTATTAAGTTTCTGTAAGATGTCTTGGATCTGATCATACAACTTCTCGACTTCATCGTCATATTTTCTATCTGCAGTCGAGGCATAGATTTGAAGTATGTTAGTTTTAAATGTTTGAGTATTTATTTCGAGTAATATTATTCTATCTGAGACTGGTACGAAATTGGTCACATATTTACTCAGTTCTGATGTTACTAATATACCTCCATATTGCAGAAGATCGAAAAGCCTTCGCAATGGTGATCTCCAACGTCGGATAGTTCTGATATGGCACGCCAAGAAGAAGAATATACCTACACCATTTTTGCGATTTGGGTCTTCTGTGCTGTTATCGGAATAATATAATACACTTCCGTCCTTTTTACATGATCCTGACTCTGGCCATCTCATTTTCCTGATTTCCAGTAGGTCTAATTTCATTCTTTTCATTTCTTGAAATTAGTTTACGATGATTACTTTATGATTCGGAATAGCGCACAGTAGTAACGGTTTCTTGTAGATGACCATAGTCCAGTTTATGTCTTCTTGTGCAGCTTTTGTAGGAGCGTATATCTGAACAAGGTATAGGGTATTTGGTGGATATTCTTATTTTCCTCCTCCTCAATCCTTTAGCCCTTGTCAGGGCGTAGTGACACCCTAAATATTGTTAGTCTGCTGTCTCCATTGACTGCGATCTTGTGCCATATGGACGGCTTCATGTAGAGATTGTCCCACCAAACTCTTCATTTGGTCTACCCATCATATTGGAGATCTTCCTCTTGGTCTTCGGCCTTCTACCTTTCCTTCTACTACCAATAGTTCCATGGTGCCCGTTCTTCTAGCTATGTGGCCGAAGTAAGTTAGGTATGCTTGGTTTACTTTTTTTAGTAGCCTGTCTTTTATATGAAGCTCTTCCAGAATTGACAGGTTCTTCTATATACCCACATTTCGAAGGCTTCGATCTTACTCCTATCGATTTTTTTGAGAGTCCATGTTTCAGCTGCATATGTAGCAATGGGAAAAATAAGGGCATTGACCAACCTGAGCTTAGTATTCCTTGTTATTGTTCGGTCTTTCCATATTTTAATTAATTTAGCAGTTGCGGTTCGGGCCATTCCTAGTCTACGTTTGATTTCTGAGGAACAATCACCATTGTTGGTTATCAGAGAGCCCAAGTATACAAATCTGTCGACTACTTCGAAAATACCTATTTGGCGTATATGCGGTAGATTATTATTTGCTCTGTCTACAATCATTATTTTTGTTTTTCCGGTGTTGATTTGAAGTCCGAATTCTTCACTTATTCGGCTTAGCCGTTCGATGATGGTAATCATTTCGACTTCATTCGCTGCTAGTATAAGTGTGTCATCTGCTTATCGCAGGTTACTGATTTTTCTGCCTCCTATAGTGATTCCTCCATCCCATTCATCTAGTACTTTTCTCATTATATATTCAGAATATATGTTGTACAATATTGGTGATAGTATGCAACCTTGTCTAGTTCCTTTCTCTGTTTTGAATGCATTTGAATATATTCCATGTACTTTAACTTTGGCTGAGTTTTTATTATACAGATTTCTTATTAGGTTAACTAGGTGGTTAGGTACTCCCATATTTTCCATTATACTCCAGAGAGGATCCCGTTTTACTGAATCAAAAGCCTTTGTGTAATCTACAAAACAGAGCAACATTGGTATGTTATGTTCTCTCGCTTTTTCTACTATCTATCTGGTGTTGAGTATTTGCTCACGCGTTCCCTTTCCTGGTACAAATCCACATTGTTCTTCGGCTATTTCTGGAAGTAGAAAATTCTTTAGCCGTTCATTGATTATATGTAGCAGGATTTTGCTTGCATGAGGGATAAGGACAACGGTTCTGTAATTGCTGCATATGGTTAGTGATCCTTTTTTATGGATAGGGATCAAGGTTGATTCACACCACTCATCAGGCCATTCACCTGTGATCCATATCATGTTGCACATATCCAGCATTACATCTACTGCTACCAATTTCGCCTATTGCTTTTAGAGTCTCCGCTGTTATGCCATCGATTCCTGGAGTTTTTTTGTTTCTTAGTTGGTTAAGAGCCTTCTCTACTTCTGCTCGTAAAATGATTGGTTCAGCCTCTCTGATTGCATGTTTTTTGTGTTCTGAGACTGATGACTTTGTCATCTTTTGAGTGTCTTTGTTCATTCTTATTTTAATGGATATTAATTGATCGATACTGATGGATATCTGATTCGATACTCGTAAAATAAATAAAACTCTGGCATTATAAATATCAATATCTATGTTTTATTATACAAGAACAACATTAATTCAATATCATTTTAAACAGTATCCAACTTTACATGCTTTCTGTGATACTTAAACGTATTAAATTCAATAATCTGACAAATATATCGTTTCTCTCTCAAGCACCACCATCAAGGCTCTTCACAAATATTGGTCAACATTCTTGCACATCACAGAACTACCAAAAAGGAAAACTATATTATTCCAATAAGCCGTACAGAACACATAAGAAATTGTAGTGTGGCAGGAGATAGGTGGGCGTTTGCAGTAGTTGTTTTTAGTTTTCTCTGGCAGTTGTTACTATCATTACCATTTAAGGTAATGAAGACTAATAAGAAAGTCCTATGCGAAACACCAGGTCACAGGCAGACAGGCCTTTTTAACATCTTTTACGATAAAGGGGAGATTCCAGAGGAATGGCCAAATTCATACACAATAGAATATATAACAAATGCGAAGTAAATATATCGGAGTCACAGTTCGGATTCCGAAGCGCATTGGGCACAAGAGAGGCGATCTTCAGTCTGCAAGTTTTAATACAAAGATGCAGAGACATGCACAAGGACGTCCACTTGTGCTTCATCGACTTCTCCAAGGCGTTTGACAAGGTCAAACATGATAAACTCATGGAAATGCTCAGTAAGATGCATATTGATGGCAAGGATCTGCGCATAATAACCAGTCTCTATTGGAACCAAAGTGCTGAGATAAAGATGGGCAACTTACACAGTGGGAAGATAGATATTAAAAAGGGTGTACAACAGGGATGCGTCCTCTCGGCGCTCAGTGCTTCAGAGAAGCACTGGGAGAAGTTTCGGAGGGTATCAAAGTAAACGGAGAGGTAATCAATAATATTAGACATGCTGACGACACAGTTATTATCGCAAATGACTGCAACGACCTTCAAAGACTCATGCAAAGCATACCCACAGCAAGTCAAGAATATGGTTTAGAACTCAATACAACCAAAACTAAATGCATGCTCATCAGCAGAACACAACAACCTCCGATGCAATTGACATTAAACAACCGAAAAATAGAACAAGTGAAGACATACACATACCTTGGAACCATAGTCAACACAAAATGGGACCAGTCAACAGAAATAAGATCACGAATTGAAAAAGCGTGAAACGCGTTCAACGATATGAAAAAGTGGTTCACAAGCAAAATCTCAATGGAACTAAAATTAAGACTGGTCAAGTGTTGTCTTCCCGGTCTTGTACTATGGAGCAGAGGCATGGACCACAACGGAAGCCACCTTTGAACTGTGGAAATATCGCCGTATTCTTCGGATATCCTGGACAGACCACATCACTAACGTGGAAGTAATGCAGAGAATAGGCAAAAGCTAAGAAATAATCTTCACCGTAAAGAAACGGAAGCTTGAGTACTTCGGACATGTCATGAGGCATACTAAGTACCGGCTGCTACAGTTAATAGTCCAAAGAAGAGTCGACAGTAGGAGGGGACCGGGAAGAAGACGACACTCATGGATGCATATCCTGCGACAATGGTTCGGACTAACATCGACCGAACTGTTTAGAGGTGGCGTAAACAAAGTCAAAATAGCCTTGTTAATAGCCAGGAGTAATAGTCCGAAACGGATAGGGCAAAGGAAGAAGAAGAAGAAAGTCCAGTCGGGATTTATACAGTAATAGTTTAAGTTGGTTATATTGAGACCAATGATTTTTATAGAAATGTTCACAAAAGGTTGGTTTTACTATAATTTGAATGTGCTCCAGCTAAAAAAGTTATGGGAAATCAGGAAAACGTGTAGTTAAAAATTTGTCGTTAGATGTCACTATTTTTTTAAGTGTCATAAGTATGATACCAATGTTTAGAAGTAGAATTTTTTGCAATTAAATTTCCTACTAGAGGATGCTTGTGTAATTAGTAAAAAATATGGATATTTTTGTTAATTCAAACCTTTATTGCGTAAAATATACTTGGTTGTATAAATAGCTGATTTTTTTACAGTATAGAAGAGCAAACAAACTTTCTAAACCAATTTAAATAAACAAAATTTTCTTTTTTATGTTGATAAAATCCACAAAATCAATGAAATACTGTTTTAATGTAAAACAAATTGATATATGCTTTTTTATATCTAGAATTTATAATATAATTGATTAAAAACCAAAATTTAATTTTTTTTTAGTTTTTTATATGATATTTGAAACATTTTTTAGCAATACAGGAAAATTCTATTAAATGACCAATATTTTTATTTATATTTATTAAATGACAAACAAATTTTACTAAATAAAAAATGTCTCTTTTGTAGTACATTCAAAAAATTCCCCTGGCACATCTAATTAATTGATTTTAGTTCTTTTATAGTGAATTTGAAAGTCTTTTGTAGGTACCGTGACAGCACCTGTATATGTTTTCCACGCAGATAAGTTTTGAAAAGATTCAAATTTTCTGTTCATATGAGGATTGCATAATTATTATGCAAAACCATGAAAAAACTATCAAATTTTTATTTACTTTATTTATTTTTATTTTGGAGATAAACGTTTATCGCCTTTTGTCACTTTGGTACATTTGTACACCAATTTTTTGGAAAGTTTTTTCAATTCTCAAATAGATATTCAAACATTTATTTTTACCACTTTTTCAGCAAATTTTCATTTCTATGTGCTAGAAATTTTTTTACAATCAACACAAGCAACTTTTGACACAAAAATTTAATTGCGAACAATCTTACTTTTGTCGCAATCTTTTCCTTTCAAAATTTTTCACTTCTTCAGCTAAAGCATAGCCAAATTTGAATTAAACCCATTTCCGAAGATACTGCTACAAAAATTTGACTCACTACAGCCAATCCAAAGCAGATTCAGAGTAGGCCGAGATGATATTTATCGTTACCAATGTTCTGTACACTTTTTTAAGTTGCCGCTATAATAAAAGTAGATTTTGTAAACACATTGTGTAATTTTGGGCTGAAGGTATGAAAACAAGTTAACTTTTAATCAAAACAATATTCAGGGCATATTATCCGAATGGTTGAAGTATGAATCGGTTCTCGATTTGAATAGAACTAGTACTTCTTATCTAAAATAATAACTGTTAATATTTTCAATAAAAGAAGCTAACCAATGAAGATTATCTTATCTGCAGCCTTTTTTCAAAAACCTCTAGCAAATTCAAACAACTGATATTCATGCCAGACTTGAACATTACCTACACGGTCAAAAAACCTGTAAACTACCAAGTACTGAGATTTGGATACTACATTTTCCAAATATTGGCTGTGTATTATGTATTTTAACATAACTTTGAAAAACTTCTGTATTTCAAAGCTATGATTTGAGTATTTCTATAGTTCTGTATTATTTCTGCACTACTTATTGGAACAATATACAGTTCAAAATGTATTAAAAAATAAAACTAAGAAAGGATGACATACATGTGCACTGTCTCTGTCGTTTGATCACTTACTGAACTCCCCTTTTTGATCATGTCTGTGATTTAACAATCTTTTTGGATCTAGATAAAATTCTTCGTAAAAAGGCACTTATCTATCTACATTTAAAACAAGATACACATAATAAATGCTGGTTTTATCACAATGGCACCAACTAACCAATAAAAAAGACAATTTTTCAACAAAATTGTGATGTTGACTGCTACATATGTATAAACAAATATATTTACAATAAAAACAAACATAACCATAACAAAATGGAAGATGAGTGGTGGCTTCACGTGTAGGTAGGTACCTAAAAAAGAAAAAAAAACATTAGTCTGAGACAAATAATTAAGTTGCTGTTGTTAAATTGTTAAAACGAAGCCAAAGGAAATAATTTTCACGTCTATTTACTTTAATACACGTGTCTGGTTTTGGGTTGAATTTAATTTACTAAATTGGATTGTCAAAATCCAATTTTCTTTTACAAAAAAAATTGCTTAATTCGCTATTCGCTGAGGATTTATTCGCTACTGTTATTAACTGTCTACTGGTAACGTTTTTAGACATATGGAATGCAAAGGTTCCCAATTTACATGAATTTTCCGGCGGGCGAACTTTCGACACCAAATTGTCTTTGTACCTGGGGTAATCGAAGGGTCAAATTTTATTATAGGAAATTTCGACACCGCGGCGTAAAGCAGGTAGGTAGGTAATTAGCGGCGATGGACATTTGCACCCAAGCAGGACAAGCGGGTTTTCCCAATATTTATTGTCACGGCGGGGGGCGTGGCACTTATGTACTTGTGACTAAATTATTTCAGTTATAATTTATTTCTTGTTTGACGTTGACTTGTGCACGTATACGGATATTTAAAAAATGAGTTTGATAAAAAGTTCCCGTGGTCGAGATTTATTAGTGGTGGAGCATCATTCGTTCTCGAAACAGAAAGTGTTAAAAAGCGGCGAGATATTTTGGCGCTGCATCCAAAGAAACACTAAGTGTTCCGCAAAAGTGTTTACAATAGGCTGTGAGGAACTCACCATCACAAGAAGTGATTTGGTACATAATCATGAAGCCGATACAAAAAAGCTTGAAGTAAAGATGGTAACCAATGCATGTAAAAGAAAAGCCCAAGAGGACATATCGGAAAAGCCTGCCAAAATTACAAGAACTGCTGTTGCTGAGTGTGATGCCAATTTGCTGACGGTTCCTGACATAGCTAACATAAGAAAGAACATTTACAACTGTCGTCGTAAACTGTTACCAGGTCCGTTACCAAGAAGCATATCAGAAGTCAATAACGCGGTTAGTAATTATTCTCCTAAAACCTGTCGCAATGAAAGTTTTTTGTTTTTAAATCATCCTGAATTAATTGTAATTGTATTTTCATGCGAGACAAATATTCGTTTGTTGTGTAAATTAAAAACTTTGTATATGGATGGTATATTTTCATACAGTACCAAATATTTTCTATAATTATTTACTATACATGGCTTGGAAAATGGACATTATGTTCCTTTAGCATACTGTTTGTTAAAGGACAAATTGTCAATGACATACGAAAATTTATTTTCTTTATTAAGGTCTAAGATTTTTGAAACATTTCAATTATCATTAGAGCCAACTGAAATATTTGTGGACTTTGAAAAAGCAATTCACTGTGCTTTATTATATATGTGGCCCAATGCAAAAATTAGTGGATGCCGTTTTCACTTACACCAAAACTGGTTTAAAAAAATTCAATCTTTGGGTTTGGTACAAGAATACAAATTCAGAAATTGGAAAATGGTTAAGGCATACGTTTGGTTTAACTTATTTAAATCCAGCAGAAGTTGAAGAATGCTTTCTTTATGATTTAATGTCATATAAACCTATAAACGCAACACTTGATATAATATGCAGATTATTTACTGGAAAATTACATTTTCAATAGCGCTCTATTTCCACGACACATATGGTCTAATCAGAATCCGTCTATTGCGAGGACCACAAATGCCTGTGAATCCTTTCATTCGAGATTTAATTCTTCTTTTTATTCAACACATCCTTCTATTTTTATTTTTATTGAAAAGTTAAAAGAATTTCAAGTAGACACTTATGTCAAAATAAATAGTTTACATATACCAGCAAAAATCAAATATACTACTGTTAAGGCTAAATTGGCATTTTTGGAGAAAATGATGGATAAACTACGATCCCAACAAATACGTAGGTTAGATTTTATAAAAGCTGTATCTTATCATTCCTATAATAGGAAATAAATCATTGTATACATGTACAAAAATTAGGTACTAGTTGTATTATATTTAGATATTATTACAGTTATAAAGAAATAAAATGCACATTACTTTTATTAAAATAAATAAATTAATTAATTATCGTATTTTATTTATGTCGCAGCTATATTTATTTGGTGACGAATATACCTGTAAGATAAAAACGGGAATTGGGGCTGGTGTCGAAAATTGCCATTAAATTTTAGTCGCTACCTGCTTAGGGTCGAAATATCCTACGCCCGAATTTTCAACCACTTTGAAACCTACCTCAGTCTACATTTTAAACCAGAGAATCTACTAATGATTTATAAAGATAGCAGAAGTAAGAAACTTCGCGCATGTGATGTTTTTGGAAAAAAAATTGCACTTTAACAAGAATTCTTCTGGTAATCATACAAAAAATTTTATAATTAAACTTGTCTCTAATGTATCTCTTAGTAAAGGCATAAAATGGATTAGGGAAATGGTAGTAGTAGACAAAGGTGTAGTTGACTTTTAGGCTATTATCTCCTAGTCTATACTCCTAGTCGATACTACTACATTACTTTATACGTTAAGGAAAATTGTTGTGATTCTTTTATAATATCATGGTATTTCTTGTTAGTCTAGTTTTTCGACTTTTATTCTTTTTATTACCATTTATTGTTCGTACTAATTTAAGTATATTCTGTTGTTGAGTCACATACCCCTAATGGTGACCATGTTCGTTAGAAAAGCCCAGAAGCCTCTCAGTTGCCCAACTTTGATAAAAAGATTACTTTCGAGAATCTCGGACTTTCCCGACGTTGCAAGCGCCGCCCAGCCATATGTTTTCGAGACAATTCGTTCCCATTATATAAGCAAACATAAACAAAAATAAGGCTCCTTAAATGTTATGTGTACTCAGTGCTTCTGTACGGAGTAGAAACGTGGATATTGAAGGCGGAAACTCTATCAAAACTTCAGGCTTTTAAGCTATGGTCATACAGAAGGATCTTGAAGATACCATGGACAGACAAAGTCACCAATGAAGAAGTACTGCGGAGGATGAACACAACTGCGAAATTGGTCAACATCGTGAAGGGCCGTAGCTGCAGTACTTGGGCCATATAATGAGAAATCAAGGCAGATACGAGATACTTCAATGCATTTTATTTACAAGGTAAAATTGAGGTCAAAAGGGCCCCAGGACGAAGATGAATATCCTGGCTTGCTAGCCTAAGAGCATGGTATAGAAAGACATCAACACAGCTATTTCGTATAACAACCAACAAAGTCATCATAGCCAGAACGATCGCCAACGTTCGGAACAGACAGATACCCTAAGAAGAAGAAGATATAAGCCAGCAGGGCAGGTTCTTATATTGTTATCGACGAGTCTACGCATCAGTGTAGTTACTTCTAATAATATTTTAATAATTTTATTTTATTTATTCTTTTAGTAATTATTAAAATAAGATAAGGCTTCGATACATGTACTTCAACGAGTAAACATCGTTTTTGCCTTTCTCGTAAATTACAGTGTTTATAAATAGTTGTTAAACTTATTTTGCGATTTATACTTGTTACGTAGAACAAATAAAAAGTGATATAACAACATTAAAAATTAAGAACTGGAAGAAAAAAGCACGAAACAGGTCAGAATGGAGAAGAATCCTTGAACAGGCCAAGACCCAAAAATGGTGATAATGATGATACTTGTTACCGACAATAACAATGTGCAGTGTAACTACATACGTGTACTTTCGCAAGTTCATATAATCACTAAACTTGCATAAACAATATTTCATTAAGTGCATATAGACTCACAAGAAAATAACAACAATTTTTGGATATTTCTCTTTACATTACACATTACAGTTGTTCCATGTCTAGGCAACTTCCATCACTATGGACTATGATAAGTTGCGGCCTTCTGACACTCAAGAATGAATACAAACAAAATGCAAGAAGCTGTCTTTCACTACGAGGATGCTTCAAATTCAACAATGTCAACAAACCAAATTGTAACCAACACAACCCAATCACCAACAGTAACATATCTTACACGGCTGCAGTAAAATCAGGACCTAGACCAACGTTCCCAAAAAAGGATTAGGCCTTGGTTCTTCATGCCGAGAATAGTTTAAAGCTATACGATTATGTAGATGCAATCGGAACTATCATTGGGGCCAAGAACATTTACTTCGCATGCAGGATAGCAAATAATAGAATATGTATTTACTTATCTAATTCTGAACAAGAAAAATTGATAAATTTTCATCCATTCATTCAAATTAATTCATTTTCCCTAAATATTCGGAGACATATCTACAACGAAAAGAATTTTATTTCAAATATATTACCTTTTATTTCTCATGATCTAGCTGAAAATGCTATAAAAAGTCTTGTCTTACTAGCATCCCCCATATCGTTACTCAAAGCAGGTATCCCTGGAGATGAATACAGCCATGTTTTAAGTCTCAGGCGTTAAGTTTATATATTTCTCCCTTCTAATAACTATGAACTAAGGTACTTTAGTTTTTATTGCCCTTAACGATCTGATAACTACGATCAATAACTATTCCATATGATGGTCTTCTTTTTATGGTGCCTATCATCTGTGGATGTTAGCAATCACCTTGGTCCATACAACTTTGTAGACAGCTGCTCTAAATAGATGTATGGTAGTCATTCATGTCTACTGTCTGATGTTCTTCAACCACGATGTCCTTCAACCACGATGTCCTTCTGCGCCCTTAAGATCTTTTGCCTCCTATCTTGCCTTGCCTATGATGGTCACAAACATAGAATATTTCTTTCTACAGATAGAATGGAATGTTTTAACTGCAGGCAAATAGGACATGTTGCAAATAACTGCATTGTCCCGCATCTTCCATTATTCCTATACAGTCAGATACCCAAGCTCCCATTTCTAACAATGAACCTAGTACAAATATAAATGAAAGCGTCCAATCATCTCAAGACATTCCAGTAATAGGTCAAAAAAGACCTCCTTCGGAATCACTTAATGACGAATCTAGTCTTCCTACAACTCGGTTAGCTGAAACCCCT